CGGCGCTGGCGGCGGCAGCACTGGACAACGGGCTGGCGCGGACGCCGCCGATGGGCTGGCTGCATTGGGAGCGCTTCCTCTGCGCCACCGACTGCGCCACCGACCCGCGCCGCTGCGTCAGGTACTGCCGGTGGCGGGCGGGGGTGCCCCGGGGCCCGGGCCCGCCTCCGGGGATGGGGTGGGTGACACCGGCCCCAGGGGAGCCCCAGGCACCGGCCCTGGGAGTGTCCGGATTGGGGACAGGCGGCCCGGCGCGGTGTTTTGCGGCCCTGGCACCCGGTGCGCCTTCCCCATGGCAGGCGCAGCCCCCGTACCGGGGCCGGGCAGCACGGTTGTCATATTGTTGCTAGAAATCGGGCTGCCACGTTCTCCGCTTTCTTTCCTGGTGGTGCTGCCTCCCCGTGCCCAGCGAGCAGCTCTTTGTGGAGATGGCCGATGTGATGGCTGCCGAGGGCTGGAGGGATGCGGGCTATGAGTTTGTCTGCATTGACGACTGCTGGATGGCCCCGACGCGTGATGAACACGGCAGGCTCCAGGCTGACCCAAAACGGTTCCCCAGCGGGATCCGCAAGCTGGCCGACTATGTGAGTGCTACCTGCCGCAGCGCGGGCAGTGACAGCGGCCAGCAACCCGACCTGCAGCCGTGCTGGGAGCAGGGGAGGTGAGGGAAGGCCGGGTGGGGAATGGCCGCGCAGCTGCTGAGCTAAGGCCCTGCCTGCCATCGTGGGGTTTTGCTTCCCTTGACGCCCCAGCTCCACTGTCTCCTGCATCACAGCTGCCCCATCCCCTGTTCTCTTTCTGCCTGCAAGCGCAGGTCCACTCCAGGGGGCTGAAGCTGGGAATCTACAGCGATGTTGGGAACAAGACGTGCGCTGGCTTCCCTGGCAGTTACAACCACTATGACCTGGATGCCCAGACGTTTGCCTCATGGGGTGTGGACCTGCTGAAGTTTGATGGCTGCAACTCTGACACGCTGGAGCTGCTGGCAGAAGGTAGGCGTGGGCTGGAAGCCCACGGAGTGGGACTGTTCTGCCGGCAGCAGCAATTCTAGGCCCAGGGTGGGCTCCGGGGAGTTGCTTTTCCCTGAGTGCACTCATTTAAAGGATTTGCTTACAAAAGCAGGTATGAGACTCTGTTCCCAAGCCCAAGGTAGTGAGTGTTGCTGGCCCAAGTGGTTTTTACCTGTTCAGCCTCCTGGAGCTTTCAGTGGTGTGCACAGCTTGAAAAAGCAGCTTTCTCACACCAGAGACCACATCATGCTGAGCGTGGAAACATTGACTGTGTACTCTGGGGGCTCTCTGTGAGACTGCTGCCTCAGCTCTTAATGCAGCAGAGGCTTTGCCCTTCTGCAGTGCCTTTATTGGAGAACTCAAAGTGTTTCACACACTTAACCCATAATCCCTTTGGGAGGCCGTATCAGGGTGGATCAGCTTGAAGCTAGAACAGCTTGTGTCAGCTGTAAAAGGGGCAGTTATCAAGGCTTTTAAGATAAAAAAAATGAAGGGAATTCTGGCATAACAATCCTACTGGGGTTTTCATTTTAAAGCACACCAGTGTAAATCCCAGTTCAGAAATTATTTGCATGCAGGCTAGCAAGTCAGCAGCTCACCGTGCCAAGGGAGCTTGGCTACAGACTCTGCAAGCACAAGCAAATCCCAGTGCCGCAGGAGCAGATCTATGGACAGAATGATGCAGCTCAGAAGGTGGTTTTCTCTTGACTGGGCTTCTGCTGCTTGCTGGCACAGTCAGCACCACAGTGTTTGGCAGCAGGAATCCTGTACATGCTCCTGGTTCTGCCTGGCAGGGAGAACCTGCCCAAGGGACAATCCTCTTGAAGCCAGCTGGTGGGGCATATGCCAGCTGCCACAACCAGGAGCACAGCTCAGCACTGTCACAGCTGAGATGAAAGCTCTTCTTGGATCATACATGTAACCCAGATACTTGTATTGAACCAGTTCCAGGCAGGACAGCAAACTTTTAGTTCCCTGTCTGCTGATGAAAAGGGACTTAACAGAGCTGTCTGGGGACAAGGATGGGAAAAAAGTAGTGCTTTTGCATTCCTGCCCAGTCCATACGGTGCAGATGCCTCCTAAGAACGTACTCCTGTAACATTACTCATCAAAGCTGTACCCAGCAGCTTGATAGCTACCAACTTGTATTTCCCAGATACCTAGAAGCAAAAATACCATACAGCAACACTGCAGCCTTGTCCCATGACTGTATGTACAAAGAGATCAGCAGTCTCGGAGTGATAAGCCTGCCCATGACCTGTAGCAAAGCTGTGAAGAAGCTCAACCTGTCCTTGGGAGGCAGGAGACTGGCTGCAGACTAAGGTCCTCTGTCTTCCCTGTGCTGTTTCAGCCACAATAATGTGTTCAGCCTCGATTTTGCAAGAGTGGAACTGAAACCTGAACCTGTGACACTGGATTAGTTCCTCTGTTTGACCAAGGAGCTTGTGTAACCCCTGTCTGCCCTCTTCCCTTAGGTTACAGGCGCATGTCTCTGGCCCTGAACAACACTGGGAGGAGCATTGTGTACTCCTGTGAGTGGCCTTTCTACTTGAGGCCTCTACAGCAGGTAAGGAATGTTTCTTAAGGCTTGTTGTGGGGCTGAAAGTGGAAAGAACAGAAAAGCATTAGGACTGCAAAACAGCCACCCAAGAAACTTTCTGCTCTCTGGTCTGACAGAGAACAAGACTCTTAAGGTGAAGGAAAACCACTTTTTCCTCTAGAGCCTTGAAGTATACCTGAGGTGAGTCATTACTCTGCTGAAAAGCATTCAATAGGGTCCTGCAGCACGAAGGCACAGCCCAGCTGGAGCATGCCAGAGAACACAGCAGCATCCATCTGCTTTCTATTTCCAGGTAGCCAAGCAACAAACCATTGGCAATGCAGATACACAGCTAGCAGATAGTTTGGTGTTACTCCTCCAGGACACGGAATGCTGCAAACTCAGCCTTACAGTCACCTCTAGGGACCAGGAGAGAAATTTTAGGACAGCCTCTTTAATAGGAATTCTCCATATTGTTTGCTGACAGATTTCTGTCAGCCAGGCTCCGTAACCAGCATGTTGCTCTGCACCCAAAGCTGGCCTCCCCTGTGCCACCATGGCAGGATGGTGCCGTTCCCTCCCCCTGGGAGTTAAATGCATTAGTCACTGAAGGGTGTAAACCCAAGAAATGGCAGTAATTAATGGGATGTCACACTTTAATCTTATTGGCCCTGTCACACCTTCAGTAAAATAGCACTCAAAGGAATTCTCTAACAGAGCTAAGTGGCCACAGCTCTTCTCCCAGGGGAAGCAATAGTGTTGTCTGGAACGTGGCAGACTGGAGTTACTGGGCACAAGGTGACCTAGGGAATCAACATGCACTAGGTCATGCAGAGTGCTGGTGGTGGGAAGTATTACCATAGTTCTCCCCCAAACTATGCCTCATCCAGTCTAGCCTTGTGTACAGTCCTCTTCTTGTACAGCCAAGCCCTCTGGCTAATCACATTCAATGTTTTGGCAGCCCAATTACACGGAGATCAAACACTACTGCAATCACTGGAGGAACTTTTTTGACGTCTATGATTCCTGGAGCAGCATCAAGAGTATCTTGGACTGGACAGCACTTCACCAGGACAGCATTGTGAAGATAGCTGGGCCAGGCGGCTGGAATGATCCTGACATGGCAAGTAGAGCAATGCCCACCTCCCTTGCAGCACCAGCAAAAAAAATTCTTCTGTCAGCTGTAGGCTCAGAAGGATGGGAAGGGAGGGAAACATTGAGGGGAAGGGCTCTAACAGGGTCCTAGGATCAAGAACTTGATGAGAGGATCCCTGGCTGGAAAAGGAAGGAGAACTACAGCTACAGACAGTGCCAGGGAATTCCCTGTAACATAGCCTGCAAGCAGTGCCAGCTCCGAACACAGGCGTGGCAGTGGGAGACATCTCGGAACCGCTGATCTCCCACTAGAGGGAAAAACCCTGGGGGCCAGGCTGGATGCCAGCATTGCAAGGAAGGAATAGCTGTATCCAAAAGCAGATTCTTCCGTGCTGCCTACCCAGTTAAGGATCCTTCTTTAGCTCCACCAGTAGTTCATCCTAAATTGCTACACTAGTCATGCCTTGCCTTTCCCAACCAGCTGGTCCTGCTCCCAGTGCTCAGCCTAACTAGTCCCCAACTAGGGGGTCCCACCTTCAGCATCCTGTCAGTTACCAGTGCTTGGGTTGGTGGCCCAGTTTCTCCTCAGCAGGCAGCACAACAGGGCATTTCTGTTTTCTTGTCACAGCTGGTGATCGGAAACTTTGGGCTGAGCTGGGACCAGGCAGTGACTCAGATGGCAATGTGGGCTGTGATGGCAGCTCCACTCTTCATGTCCAACGACCTGCGGCACATTAGTCCTGAGGCCAAGTGGCTGCTCCAGAACAAAGAGGTGATCGCCATCAACCAGGATCTGCTGGGCAAGCAGGGATACCAAATCACCAAGGTACAGCAGGACTGGGCCAGGGTGCAGCATGGGGCACAGGCAGCCAGTCTCTCACCTAGGGGACACTGGGAACACATGGGCTACAGAGGAGTGTTGAGGGTTTGGGAACAGAAGCCCAGCAAGGCTGCTTGTTCCTGAAGCCTGATTAAGCAGACAAGCGTGAGGACCACCAGCTCTGCCTTCCCTAACGTAAACCCTGGGTTTATTTTCTCCTCGGCAGGACAAGAACTTTGAGCTGTGGGAGCGGCCTCTGTCTGGCCGAGCCTACGCCGTGGCAGTGCTTAACCAGCAGGAGATTGGGGGACCCCAGAACTTCACCTTCCCCCTCACCTTCCTCGGCAACGGGCTGGCCTGCAACCCAGCGTGCACCGTGCAGGAGGTCCTGCCAGCCAGCCGGGACTGGGGGGTTTACAGCTGGGTGTCTTCCCTGAGCGTGGAGGTGAACCCAACTGGCACTGTGCTGCTGAAAGTAGTGGCACTATAGGAGGCACAAAGACAAGCTTTCTGTAAGTCTCAGACTGTCTAAACTTCTTGTCCAAGAAGCCTGTCTCCTTCCTCCAGGTGGGGTGCCTTCGTTCTCTCCTCAGGCTTTCACTACTCAAGTGCTTCCACATGGACTTTGAACCTTCATTGACAAATACCCATCGCTCCATCACCAAGAGGTAACAAAGAAAGGGGTGCTGCTTCTCTTCTTTGACCCTTTCTCTGGCATCTCACCTAACTTCTCCTCCAAGAGGCCATAAGGCCCCAGCAGGGCAGCAGCTCCTGTTGATGCCCAGTGCCACTACCAACCAAAGAAATGCAAAGGACACATGCAGCATCTGACACCTGTGACCGTTTCAGGGACAATAGGGGAAACACACTGCCTTGCTTTTGCTTTGCCCAGCTGGGGCATGCAGTCCAAGAACAAGAAAAGCTGCTCCTACCCCTGCAGAAGAAACACAGCACTCTCCTCAGAGCATGGACATCTGTCTACCTTCTGAAAACTCAGGGGCTGGCCTAAAGCACTGCACTTGTTAGCAACTGCTTTCTTGACAGCTGCCTGCTTAGTATATAAATGTGATTATCATGCCTTGGGCCTCAGCTTTTGAGGGTTCCTCCTTACCCCAGGAGTCTTCCCCTCACCCCTGGCTGTCACTTCTCTTTGTATGACAATTCCCTCCACCCTTCGCTGGGATCCCCCTTGCTCAGGGAGCCACCTTCCAGAAATACCTGTGTGCTTGCCGTACTGCTGGCAGTAGCCTTTCAGCTGAATAACACAGGTCCTTCCAAAACAGGAGATGGATACTTAAACACACAACCATCACGTCCAAGTACATTCTCTTCTGACTACTACACAATCAAGACATCTTGATTTGTTCTTATTTCTGTGATTGAACACTTTGATTAAAATGTCCCTTAAAAAGGCTAAGCTTTTTCTTAGTTTCACTGTACAGCATGGTCTCCGAGATTAAATCAGATTTTAGAAAACAGGCCAGTTTGTTCCAGTCACTAAGTTCTTGTGAAATTTGTCACAATTACTCCAAACAGCACTAGGTAAAGCTGATAGTGTAGCCATACAGTCCATCTCACAGCAGAGGCTGAGGCCAGTGCTGCTAACAGCTTAAGCAGCAGGACTTTGAAAATGCTAATCACACCAGCCAGTACAGAATAAACAGCAGCACATGTTCCATTACTGTTCAGTAACTTAGTGCTCTCTGTCCCTGTGAAGAGGGATTTCTCCATCCTCCAGCTCTTGTTTTCACAAGTTACTCTTGAGTGCTCTGCATCATGTTCCCAGCACCCCCTGGCAGGGCCTCCCTGCTCCCAGGGGCACAGCGCTGCCTCGAGGGGTGATCCTGTCCATGTCAGGTACCACATTAAGTCACATCTGAAACTCAGTGCTGTGCTTCAGCTTTTTCTTTTAATGAAAATTTTAAGGGGTGCCAACAGCAGTCAGAGACAGGAGGCAGGCAGCCAAGTCCCAGTACACCGTCACTGCGTGCGACAGCACAGCTCTGCAGGAACCACAGGCACGAGGCTGTCCCTCATCTCTGAGCTACCGTGACACACAGACACAGCACACAGGTCCCCGCCATGCCCCAGCACGGAGCCACTGCCTGACGGTGCAGAGGACACTTCATCTGGAAGCCCCCGGTCCCAAACCCACAAGCAGCTCCAGCACATGCGTTGCCCCTTTGGGCAGCATAACTGCCCCTGTTTGTAACAAGGGGCACAGCCGAGTGCAGGGGCTGCTCTGGGGGGGTTACTCTCAGCAAGGTGCAAGGAATCTTACCTGCCTCTCCTCCCAGATGAGGGCTTGGAGAGGGAAAGAGGCCTACTCAGCTTTTTTTTTTTTCCTCCAATCACTACTTCATCTACCAACAATTCAAATTTACCATAGCATTCCTGAAATGGAATTGCTATAATGGAGACATAAACGGTTTTAAATGAAACAAACTGCAGAAGTTTAGAGGAGGTCCTTTTGAAGGCCACCTTCTACCACAGCTCATAAGCCTGGAGAAAAGCAGCAGCACAACGCTCAGGCAGAGAGGCCACTGGTGCAAAAATCTATCAGAGCCTCACGCTCTACATATTCTAAACCACCTCTTGGTAACAAAGTAAGGAGATCACAGCCATCAGCAGGTTTTTTTTCAAAAGCCTTCAGATTACAAACTGTTCACTCACTAAGCAGCTTTGCAAGCAGCACCTTCCTGTTGGGTTGATGTACTTTCAAGTCCCACCCCATCAACAAGAGAAGATACATAAAAACAAGCAACTGATCATTCCAAATACTTTAATGTGGTCCATAATGACAAGATGGAGCTTAAAACTGGATCACCTGGCCCTGTAAGAAGGAAGAAACAGAGCAAGTTTATTCATCACTGAATGTCACCACGCTTTCTCAGCCACTCACAGTACAGAAACCTACCTTTCTCTTCTTGTCTCCTCCCAGTTCAAAGTGCTTGCACCTCTTAATTGCCAGCATCCTCTTGGACCTGCAGTTGGGCTCCACGCACTCCAGCCTCAGCACAATCTTCTTCGTGGTCTTAGCCTGGGAAGTGAGGAACAGAGCACATAAATGAACAAAGTGTCTGCAAGCAGACAAACTGCTGCTTTCAGAAAAAACTTGCTATCTGCACTCCTGAGGATTCAGCAGCTTGTTCTCAAAACTGTAAAGAAAAATTCTCCCAACACAGGCTCCATTTATTAAAATAAGCATCTTAGTGAATCTGTACCTTCCCAATAAAGGACAGTGGCAAAAGCATTCAGTGGGTCAGGGCTGGTCCCCAGCAGAGATCAGCCATGCCGGAAGAAAGTCTGTGCCAGTGAATACACCAAGGAACAGGCACTTCTGCAGTGGGGGAGAACAAACTGACAGTGCTCAAGAGAAGTTCAGCAGAAAGCCGGGCGGAAGAAACACCTGAAAGCAACATGACTGTCAAACCTTCCCCAGAAGAGCAGTGACACAACGTGCTTAACGCTGGCCCACAACTACTGAGAAGTTAGATGAAACCCAAGACTACAGAGGGAAGAATCCCAAGCTGCAAGGCCACACAGCTGGACAGAGCTGTAACTACCTGTCATAAGCCTCGGCTAATCAATAATGCTGACTACGAAAACAGAAATGGTGATGGCAACATACAACTGCAAGAGCAGTACAGCTGCTTCAGGCACCCCACTTGCAGAAACATTTTCTGCAAGGTCTCTTCACTTCCTGGCAGAAAGTCAACTTGAAAAACTGCTCTCATTTTTCTGTTCTTGCTGGAAGGCTTCCTGAATGTCTCCACCAGAACACCAGAGCTTTCCAGCAAGGACCCAAGTAATTCTATAAGCCAAACTAAACAGTTCACACAAAAACTATAATAAATCAGCCCACTGGGTTTTCCTTCCCTGCTGTAAATATCAGATTTCCCCCCTGTCCCAACTATTTGGCAGGAGATAGAGACACAGAAGGAAAACATGTTGCACGACTACAGTCCCTGGTACCTACACTGAAGAGCAAGGGTGACAGCAGCTGGTTTCTGCAACTCATCTGTAACAGAATGCACTGCTGCCCTTCCACTGCTGCTTTGAGATTGTAAAGACCTAATGCAGCAGCTCTTGTTTCCTGGCTCAGCAATATGGATTTCCCCAGAGACAGCAGACCGCAAAAAAATGATGTCATGTTCTGCAGTACCCCCCAAAGAGTTGCACACATTTCGCTTCTACCATACCTTTGTTGGTGAAGACAGCCTCACTGTGCAGAGTCTCACAAACCCAGCAAAACGTTTCAGTGATAAACTACTGACACTTCAAGAACATAAAGAGAGCAAGCAGCAGGCTCCCCCTCCCTTCACCATACTCTTCATCTGCAGCAAGCGATGAGGAAAACACTCTTTTCACTAAAAGGATCAACTGTGATCACAGAATCGAGGCTCCCTGCAGAACCTGCTCTGCGAACACATGCTATGTCACTCCTGCAAAAAAAGGAGCACCTACATGAGGCGGGGCAGCAAGGAAGATGAGCACATGTGGATGGGGAGCTTACACTCCCCAGACAGCACCACCACCACAGAGCTGCCATGCCACAGCTCGAGCACAGGACTGCTACAAGGCTGCAGGAGGCTGAAGTGTCCCTCATCAGCTGGGTGTACGGATTGCCAAGCTGCATGTCCAGGAGCTGCACTCACCTTCTTACGGAAGATGGGCTTTGTCTGGCCCCCATAGCCACTCTGCTTCCTATCGTATCGTCTTTTTCCTACAAGAAGAAACGCCTCTGTTTAGGCAACAACTCCAGACGCGCTCCAAGCACAGCAGGCACTCTTACCAAACCCCAGCAGACCCGGGGGCCTGCAGCTGTACAACCCAGAAGAAAACACCCCCTTTCTCCCACGGCCACATGCTCGGCCCACAACCATCACCCTGGGGCGGAGCACGACCGCCCGGGCCCCGCGCAGGCTCCCCGGCCTCACCTTGGGCGTACAGGGAGTCCTTGCCCTTCTTGTACTGGGTGACTTTGTGCGGCTGGTGCTTGCCGCATTTCTTGCAGTAGGTCCGCCGAGTTTTCGGGACGTTCACCTGGAGGAGCAGGGAGAAGCCGGTCAGCACACGCAGGGGCGGAGGAGGGAGCTAGAAAAGTGCGGCGCCCCGGGGGCCCTCTCGTCCCGGCGCAGCCCG